AAGTCTCATTATATAGTTATCTTCTTATTAGTATAAATAGGTTATTAGGCCTATTGTAATCTAAGTCGCTTTTACGTTTTTATTATTAATAAAGTGAAATCTTTGACGCTCAAGATTGTTCATAATTGTTCATAATTGTTCATAATTTCTTCTTGAGTGTTCATCACTTTGTTCATCACTTTGTTCATCAAATCACTATAATTTGGTTATTATTAACTAGATTATTAGTGTTATTGAGATATTTGAGATCAACAATTGGTATCAGAGTCGATTGATTGATTTTCCAATCAAAACGATCAAACAAAAATCTCTCAATTTTTGACCTTCTCTCTCCTCAAAACACGAATCCTTCTCTTCAAAATTCTCAATGGCCAACTGGAATTCCGCTTATAGTGTTGGCTCTCTCACCAAGCCTCCAACTCTTCAACGAGAAGAATATTCACAATGGAAGATCAAAATGGTGAATTTCTTGGAAGGAATAGACAGGAACCTCCAGCGATCTGTAATGGAGGGTCCTTACATTCCACAAACTCTTGTCCCAAGAGTTCCAGGAACAAACACCACAGCTGAAATTCCTGCCTACTATATGCCCAAGGATGAGAAGAATTGGGATGAAGACGACATGGAAAGAGTAGAAATAGACAAGAAGGCCAAATGATTGATAATCATGGCCATACCCAATGAAATCTTCTAATCCCTCGACGCATATTCCATAGCCAAGGAACTATGGGATGAACTGGCAAGCCAACTGGAAAGAGGAGCAAAAACGAGGAAAAATCGTAGAGCACAATGTCTCAACGAATATATTAATTTCAAGGCCCTTCCTGATGAACCAATACAGAAGTCATATGATCGTTTTAACACATTGATCAATCAATGTCGTCGAAACGATATCTCCAGAACTAAGGAAGAAAACAATGTTTTATTCCTAAAAAGTCTGGGTGATGAATAGACTCAGCTGTCTATGTCCCTTCAAGCAAACTAGGACATAGACAGCTGGTCACTTCATGATCTGTATGGAACGCTTGCAGCACAAGAGAATGACATAATGAAAAAGAAGGTTTCCATTGGTGGACCTCTTGCCCTTGCTGCCGATGGAAAGGAAAAATCAAGGACCTCTACCAAAGTACATAAAAAGAAAGGCAAAAAAGCATTGGTGGTAGAATCAGAATCTGAAGAAGAAACTTCTGAATCAGATGATGAAATTAAAGCTTTTGCCAAATCTTCGGCCTTGATCACAAAGCAGTTCCAGAAAAAGTTCATCAAGAAACCCTATGAACGAAAAGAGTTTAAGAGGGAAAGGTACGAGTCATCGTATGAGAGGAAGCCATCCAAATTTCAATAGAGTGAAGACAGAATAGATGGGAGAGAAGAAAGAGAAGAAAGAAGAGAAGATAAAAGAGACCAGAGGAAAGAAGACGAGGATGGAAGAAAAAATGACCTCTGATGCTTCAGGTGCGGAAAACTCGGTTATTTTTCCAAAGAATGCAGAGGACGATTGGTAAAGGATGATGACTATTACAAAAGAAAATACAAATATAATTCCAGAGAGCGAAGCCTGATGGCTGAGAAAGAAAATTGGGTGTCCGATTCTTCATCAGACGATGAAGACAAAGCACTCATCTGTTTGATGGCCACGTCCAATACAGAATCCGCCCACAACTCTGATGATCAGGTATGTGAGTCTACCTCCAATGAAACCAACTCTGCCCCATCGGAGCTAGAGTWAAGGGTAATAAAACTTTCAGAGGATTTCCTCAAATTAAAAGAAAATTTGAACTTTGAAAAATCTRAAAGATTAAAAGCGGAAAAAGAAGCAAGTTTCTACAAAAGAGAAACTGACGTTCTAACCGAATAAAAAGCTGAACTTGCAAAGAAAAAGACTCGCATAAGCACTCTTAAGAAATAAGAGGAAGATAAAATTCTAGAATTATACAAACGAATAACTAAGGACCTAGAAAAGAAAACAAAGGCCTTAAAGGAATCCGAGGCAGAGAGACTTAATTCAGTAGCTATTAAAGATTTCTTTCAAAAAGAACGGGAAATACTTCACTAGAAGCTTCAAACCAATGAACTTCTGATGAAGAAGTATAAAGATGCCCAAGATGTTTATGAAAAATTAAATGGTCAAACGGACACTCAAGAGATAGGATTCAATGAATTGAACTCTTTCATCGAATCAAAGAAATCTACCCTTGAATCCACTTTCAAACTTGGATGCATTTAAAAACCCGACTTTACTCCAAAACCAAAAGCCAATTTTAAAAAAGTTAAAGTCGATGGAAAAACTGTCGTTTCAAGACAGAACTTTGAAAATGTGGTATACGAGAACAGTACGAGTAAGAATTATGATGGACGAAATGACACCTCTCATTTAGAAACCGATGGAAATCCTATGGCTTAACCAGAATCTCTGATTGTCAATTCCTCTCCATCAGCAAGTACTGTTGATGAAAAAGAGAATCCAAACGAGGAACCACCAGCTGATGAATCGATGAACAACCCAAGTAAAATTGCAAGTTCATCGAAGTCAGAATTGATGAAACCTCAAACAGATCACTCTGAACTCACATCTTCTAATTGAATCCATGCTCATTTTGATTTTGAGAAATCCGCAAAAGACTTTCTTGATTCTGAATCTGACGAAGAGATAAGTTGTGAATTATAACACCCAAGAAAAATATACATTAAATCGAAAATATTTAACGAGAGCCGGAAACTTGAATAAAATTTTTCCCAACAAAAGTAGTAGTATAGCGTTTACAAAACAGATACTGAGAAGATAAATAACAACCTACTAATCTGGATTATTCTATATCCAGATTAAAGACGGTGTTTTCATCAATCTCCAAAAATACCGAACATCAAAATGCAATGCTCAAAAGTAACAAAGGCTATAACTACAAAAGAGCCTTTCACAAAACAACGCTCCTCTCAACCCATTTTAGCTCGGCCGCTAAAGGAACCTGATAAACAAGCCATATCAAGAGGAAGTGTTAGGCTTACGCCTAATGAGTTCAATCAATGTAATATTGGCAACTATAAAACCTTGTAAAAAATGGATATATGTATATATATATATATATATATATATATATACAGTTTGACATAATTTCAAACGAGGTGAGAAAACAATTAAATCCAAAAATATCACGCGGAGGAGCCAGAACATCCGAGGATGACGGGGGAGACCCGATTTACCGTTGGTTATGACGAACACAAAGTAGTCATAAACTGACGTTATAGAGCATCACTTACAGGTTTAATACCATCGACATCAACCTATACCAGTCATGTAGTCGGTAGTGATCCTAAGCTTTTTATCTCGGAAATTACATAATAATCGCAATGCATAAAGGCAACTTACATCAGCCTTCACACGATTAAACGAGACGCCTTCATGCCCATAGTCCATTACCTCTTGATGTCATGTTCAAAGGCTATAATTTAAGCATAACGACACTTATTCACGATAAGATCTTTATAGGAGTCCTAAATCGAATAAAATACCCCTCTTTACTAGAAAGGTATACCATATGAAACAACAAGGGGTTTCCTCTTTAGTTTTAAGACCAAGTGAAGATACAGTTAGGATATGAACTCCCATTTGTTGACTAAAGTCCCTTATTAACTCATCCAAGTGTAAATAATGAAATTCACTAATTTATGCACTTTTCACCTAAAACGTTCTCTTCATTTAAGCGAGTAAAATCTATAACATTTTAGGGCATATAATAAGTAAAACACACTAACAGAAATAGTATGAGTTCTCATAAAAAAGTGGGGTGAACTCACTTGTAGGATTTAGAAGAAATTCTAATTTTTTCGGGATTAATCTGATAGACGCAGTGTAGGCGAAGAAGACCGGACAGCAGCGTCTGCTGTTGTTTTGAAGAATGCTGTCCGCCAAAACACGACCGCACCAGCTGAATGAAGAACGGGTAAAGGACGCAAAGAAAAACAGCACAACAACATGTCGTTGCTGTTTGCTGTTGCTGTGGTTGAGATGGCATGGCAGCGACTGCTGATGCCTAAAACGGTCCTAAAACATGCAGGCGACGGGAGGGGTACGCGGTTGGAGGGTCGAGGAGAACGGAAACAACAAAACATCACCCACTGTTCATGCAAGGTTTGCGAAAGAAAAAGGCCAAAGGTGCCTGCTATTTTGCACGAAGTGGCTCGGTAACAGCTCAGCCGAGGTTGCTGTTTGCTCAACATAGAGACGAAAGACAGGTCACAGCCGTGGCTGTTTTGGCGAAACAGTCCAGTAACCAGCAGCTTTGTGGCTGCTGTTGCTGCACGAAGAAGACCGCAAGGAAGGTAAAACGGCTGCCAAACTTCCTGTTGTTGCTGCTGTTTTCCGAAGGGTGAAGAACGAAGGATGCAAGGCGATAGCTATACTATTTGCTGCTGCTGTTGTGTTCGAGGGGTGAAGAACGACATCGCCTTCTGCTGCCAGATACCGACTAAAATGCAAGGAGGTCGGAGGGTGATGAAAGATTGGGGCTGGGGTCTTGCCTTGAGTCCAAGAGAAGGAGATTGATCTCGATTTTCTAACTCTCCCTACCATTCTTTTCCCTTCTTTCTAAAGACTTATCCCTTTCAAAAAAAAAAAAAAAACAAACGAGTGGTTCAAGACCACCATGGAAGGGAAAGGTCCTCTAGGGAAAATATGATATTTTTTTCCATAGTACAAGGAGGATAGGACAACCTAAAAGGTAGCAAGTACCTCCCCTTCCTCTACTCTACTGTAATTCAAAAAGAACTTACCTAAAAGCTAATCTATAATAAAATACTTATATAATATATATATGTAAAAATATTAATAAAGAAGAATTTAAAGAAATTAGAGCGACTAAAGCTCTAAGTATGCGGGTTAAAATGCGTACCTCAGCAACGTGACGAAAATCCTTGATGCGCACGGAGTAGGAAAAGGGAGAGATTTTCGGGTGTTACAATCCTTCCCACCTTGGCTTCAATTTCGTCCTCGAAATTTTAGTTCACTTGGAAAGGTGAGGGTAGCGCCTCTTCAAATCCTCTTCCGCTTCCCACGTTACGTTTGACCCTCGGTGATGTTTCCATTGTATTTTAACCATGACAATTTCTTTGTGTCTCAAGACCTTAATCTTCCTTTCTAGGATGGCCTCCGGCTCCTCAACGCACCGGTTGGTCTCGTCCACAAAAATTTCCGAAAGTGGAATTACACTTTCTTCTTCCGCTAAGCACTTACGAAGGTAACACACATGGAACGTGTTATGTATTCCGGCCATCTCTGGTCGTAGTTCTAATTTGTAAGCCTGAAGTCCCACCCTAGCCAAGACTTTAAACGGTCCAAGGAAATGGGGGCTCAGGTTCCTACGCTTTCCAAAGATGATAATTCCCTTCCATGGTGACACCTTTAGCATTACGCAGTCGCCCACTTGAAATTCTATCGGTCGGCTCTTCTTGTCTGAGTAGCTATTTTGTCGATCCTGTGCCGCCTTTAAACGTTCCCGAATACCTTTCACCTTATCTGCCGTATCTTGAATGATTTTGGGGCCGGCGAATTATTTCTCACCTGCTTCAAACCAACATACAGGAGTCCTACATTTTCGACCATATAAAGCTTCAAAAGGTGCCATTCCGATGCTGGAATGATAACTATTGTTGTAGGCGAACTCCATCAGGGGTAGGTGGGAATCCCAATTTCTGCCAAAGTCGATAACACACGATCTAAGCATATCTTCGAGTGTTTGAATGGTCCACTCACTCTGGCCATCGGTTTGAGGGTGGTACGCTGTACTCAGCTTCACTCTCGTGCCCAACTCTTTCTGCAAACCATTCCAAAAGTGGGAGGTGAATCGGTTATCTCGATCTGACACTATGGACAACGGTATACCGTGCCGCGAGACTACTTCATCGATGTATAACCTGGCGAGCTTGTCCATGGGCATCGATTCGTGCATAGCCAAGAAATGGCCGCTCTTTGTCAGACGATCAACTACCACCCATATTGTATCATGACCTCTTAAGGTCTTTGGCAGTTTGGTCACGAAATCCATCGTGATATGCTCCCATTTCCATTCGGTGATCTCCAAGGATTGAAGGCTACCATAAGGTCGTTGGTGTTCCACTTTCACTTGCAAACAAGTCACGCACCTCTCTATATAACGAGCCACATCTAGTTTCATGACCGACCACCAATAAGTCAGTTTCAAGTCCCGATACATCTTAGTGCTGCCTGGATGAATTGAGAATTAGACTTGTGTGCGTTTTCTAGTAACAGTTCGCGATTACCTCCAATCTTGGGTACCCATATACGCCCTCGAAAAAGCTTCAAGCCACGACCATCCTCTGTCAACAGCATGCATTGTTTCTTTATTACTTCACTCTTGAGGTTTTCTTCCAGCAGTGCTTCAGATTGCGCGACCTTGATCCGATCGATCAGCTTGGACATTATGTCGATCCTGGTGAGCACAGCTTTTGTCCCACTACTATACTGTTTTCGGCTCAGAGCATCCGCCACTACATTTGCCTTACCCGGATGATATAGCAATTCACAATTGTAGTCCTTGAGCAGCTCAAGCCAACGCCATTGCCTCATGTTTATTTCTTTTTGATCAAAAATATACTTCAAACCCTTGTGATCCGTAAAAAGTTTGCACTTTGGTACCATAAAGGTAATGGAGCCAAAGTTTTAAGGCAAACATCACCGCCGCTAATTCCAAATCGTGGGTGGGATAGTTCTTCTCATGATCTTTGAGTTGTCTTAAGGCGTATGCAATCACCTTTCCCCTTTGCATCAAGACACAACCCAACCCCATTTTTGAAGCGTCGCTAAAGACTACAAAGTCTTCGGACCCCTTCGGCAGGGAGAGAATCGGGGCTTCACACAACTTCTTTTGGAGAGTTCTGAAGGCATACTCTTGCTTCTCCGTCCAGATAAACTTCACATTTTTCCTAGTCAAGGTCGTTAAGGAGGAAGCAACCTTGGAGAAATCTTGGATAAATCTCCTATAATATCCTGCCAGACCCAAGAAGCTACGGATTTCTGATGGACTCTTTGGTGGTTCACAGTTCATCATCGCCTCAATCTTTGATGGGTCTACCTTCACCCCGTCTCGAGTGACAACATGTCCCAAAAATTGAACCTTCTTCAACCAAAAATCGCACTTGGAGAATTTTGCATACAACTTCTCCTTTCTCAGCATTTCAAGGACCTTTCGAAGGTTTTGTTCATGATCCGCTTCGTTCTTGGAATAAATAAGTATGTCGTCAATGAATACAATTACAGACTTGTCGAGGAATGGTCGGCAGACCCGATTCATCAAGTCCATAAATACTGCTGGTGCATTTGTCAAAGCAAAGGGATTGACCAAGAATTCATAGTTCCCATAACGCGTCCTAAAGGCTGTCTTTGCCACGTCATCTTCTTTTACACGTACTTGGTGGTACCCTGAGCGAGGATCGACCTTCGAGAAACAACTTGCTCCCTGAAGTTGGTCGAAAAGGTCGTCGATCTTGGGGAGAGGATATTTGTTCTTTACAGTTGTCTTGTTGAGTCCTCGGTAGTCAATACAGATCCTCATGGTGCCGTCCTTCTTCTTAACAAACAAGACCGGAGCTCCCCACGGTGATGAACTCGGTCTAACGAATCCTTTCTCAAGAAGGTCTTGCAACTAAGACATCAATTCTTGCATCTCGAAAGGGGCAAGACGGTAAGGTGCTTTAGCAATTGGACCGGTTCCTGGAATAAGGTCTATTTGGAACTCCACTTGTCTAACAGGTGGTAAACAGGGCAAGTCTTCTGGAAATACGTCAGGAAATTCTCTAACCACCTTCACGTCTTCAATTTTTCTTATCTCTATCTTGGTGTCCAAAACATACGCAATGAATGAGGAGCATCCCATAGCTAGGCACTTACGTGCCTTCGCCATGGATAAGAGTACTACATTCCCTTTCCTTCCTTCTCCATAAACTAGCACTGTGTCCCCATTCGTCAAAGGAATTCAGATCAACTTTTTAGAGCATAAGATTTCCGCTTGGTTCTCAACTAGCCAATCCATCCTGATTATGATATCGAATCCGCCTATAGCTATGGGTATGAGGTCCACCTGAAATTCCTTTCCTTCAATCCCTAAAACACAACCTCTAACAATTTCGTGCACCAAAACTTGACTACCATTTTCTATCTATATGGTTAATGCATCTTCTAGTGTACTCGGTGGCGTATGTAAGTGTTGATAGAATGTAGTGGACATAAAAGAACATGAAGCACCTGAATCAAAAAGGACATGAGCAGATACGGAGTTTACAAGAAACGTACCCGACACTACATCCGTCGACGCCTTAGCTTCTTCTCTTGACATCTGAAAAGCTCCACCGGTTGCTTTCGGGGTGCCCTCTTTTCTCCCTTGATTCCCACCTGTTTTCAACTTTTGGCAATCATTCTTGAAATGGCCCGGTTCCCCACATCAAAAACATTTGGGTCCCTTGATTGGACACTCGTTCCGTGTGTGGCCTGTCTTCCCACATTTAAAGTATTTGGTGGGGGTAGAGTTGGTGCCACACGGGTCGTGATGTTTGCTGCGGCACTTGGGACACCATCTTGTCTCTTTTTTGGGATGGGCTCTGCGATTGTTGTTGCCAAAATGGTTTGGCTTTTTGGATGGTGTGTAAGGCCCTTCTCACTTCCTCTTCTCACCACTCGACATCCTTTCTTCCTTTCCCTTAACATACACTGATTCCAAGACTTTGGCTTCTTCGATTGCTTCCCTGAGGGTGGAAGCTCTTGAGTTCCTAACCATTACCATCATGTCTGCAGGTAGTCCTTTAAGGTAAGCTTTCATCTTATCTTTCTCCGTTGGGCCCACGTGTCCCAACAACTTTAGCTTTTCCATAAAGAGTCGGGTGTAGTCCCTTACTGATAAATTTCCCTTCTTCAGGGTTCGGAATTCTTCTTCGATATGATCCATCTCTTGTTCATTGCAATACTCTTCCATTACTTTTTCCTTGAATGTGGTCCAACTCATCTTGGTCAATTCAGTAACCACGATGGTCGAGATGACAATGTTCCACCAGGTAAGAGCTGCACCCCTCAGCATTTGAGAGCCAAACTTCACTTTTTGCCCCTCGTCACAGTCACAAGCCCGGAAGGCTTGCTCGATTTCGCGGAGCCAATTCATGCATGCCACAGGATCGTCTGACCACACAAATTCCGGTGTCTTGCAACATAGGAAGGTCTTGTAAGAGCAAATTCTACCCATTTGTCTCGCCTCAATCGTCGCTAGCTCCTGGGTTGGGATCCCATTTCCCGTACCTCCGGACCACCCCATAGTTACATTCTCGGCAACTGCTTCATGTTTACGAGTATTACCGTCTCTGTCCTCCAAAAGCTTCATGAAGAACTCTTGTTGTTGGGACATGGCTTTGTTCATGGCGTTCATCATAGTACCCCATCATTCTTGATTCCGGGGTTTCTTCTTCTATTACGGGGTTAGAGGTGGCAAGGTCGACTTGGGGAACGTGGTTATCTCCACCGCCCAAGGTGTTTTGCCTAGGGGAAACCTTGTGATGGTGGTTCGAGGCGGTTGATCCGCTGTAGATTCAGTTACTGCATGACCTTGTGGAGAGGTATCCCGTCTACTCTGAGTATTCACCATTTAAGACTGTCATACAAGAGAGTGAAAGAGAATTATGATAGGACGAACACGGGATTAACATAATACTTACCGAAACATTCATAAGTTCTTGTAATAACAGTAAGTTCAAGCGCGCTTGTGTAATAACTTACTCAAAATAGCATTAGCTAAGTGAAATTTTGAATAGGTTTTACATAAGAATTCTTAACACCATCGGCACAATTCATGAACGGGGTAGCTCTGATGACTCTAGTGCTCTCCTATCTTAAAAATTACTAACCACATCTCACAATTAATACCCACATCTCACAATTAATACTTACAATCTCAGCTTAAGTGTAGGCGTCATGATCCCTTACCTAGTTCACTTAAACTAGTGCTCTGATACCAACTTATAACACCCAAGCAAAATATACATTAAACCGAAAATATTTAACGAGAGCCGGAAACTTGAATTAAAATTTACCCAACAAAAGTAGTAGTATAGCGTTTACAAAATAGATACTGAGAAGATAAATAACAACCTAGTAATCTAGATTATTCTATATCTAGATTAAAGACGAGTGTTTTCATCAATCTCCACAAATACTGAACATCAAAATGCAACGCTCAAAAGTAACAAAGGCTATAACTACAAAAGAGCCTTTCACGAAACAACGCTCCTCTCAACCCGTTTTAGCCCCGCCGCTAAAGGAACCTGATAAACAAGCCATATCAAGAGGAAGTGTTAGGCTTACGCCTAGTGAGTTCAATCAATGAAATATTGGCAACTATAAAACCTTGTA